TATGTATATATATATTTATATTTATATATATATATATATATCTAATTCTACCGGTTGCTATGGCATCAGTCGTACTCACTCCATTCCCAGCTATGCGAGTTCACACTCGCATTCATTCCCTGAAATCCTAAAAGAGTTTACCGACAACGGTTCGTATATCGCCGAGTGCCACGTCTATATAAAGAGATCCCACATCTATATAACGTGATCCCACACCTATATAAAGAGATACCACAGATACACATCAACGCCACAATCGGATGACTGAGAGGGTTCTGCATTTTATATCCCCCACGGCTGATGTGCCGATGTGCTACCATAGTCGTAAACCCTATGGTTTATGGCTGCGTGTGTTCCCGGAACTGTACACAGTTTAGGTGATTTGTTGACCATTTTTGCACATGTGAGCATACATTATGGTTGATGAGGGTTGTAGGGTTAGGGTTTTATTTTAGGGCTAGGGTTTCTGGTGTGTTTGCGTTAGCTGTTTTAAAGCTGTATTTGCACATTTCAAGTACTGGATAATTCCTCAGTTTGGGGATGGTTTATGGCTTCATGTGCTCCCAGAACGGTACACAAATCGAGGATTTCATTGGCCATTTTCCCGATTTGTGTATTAACGAAGGCGATTGATTCGTCGATGGTTATCTTTTCTTGTTCTCCGCGTTCCAGAATATTCCAAATGTCCTGAAGAAGAGAAAACGATATTGTATTTGACAGAAAAGGAGACAAGAAAAATAGGTGAGGTTTCCGTGATGAAAGTTGCAACCGATATGAAACACGCATACAGCACTCAACACCTACATTGCCCCTTAAAACAACTGAAGACAAAGTATAACACTCAGCTAACTATGCGAAACACAGATGTATCTAATGATATGGAACACGCATACAACACTCAACACTTACACTACACCATACACAAACAACTGAAGACCAAATATTACACTCAACTAACCATACGAAACACAGATGTATCTAATGATATGAAACATACAGACAGCACTCAACACTTACACTACACCATACACAAACAACTGAAGACCAAATATTACACTCAACTAACCATACGAAACACAGATGTATCTAATGATATGAAACATACAGACAGCACTCAACACTTACACTACACCATACACAAACAACTGAAGACCAAATATAACACTCAACTAACCATGCGAAACACAGATGTATCTAATGATATGAAATATACATACAACACTCAACACTTACACTACACCATACACAACTCAAATACTCGCCCCAGAGCAAGCACCATACACTTCTAACAATACGAACACGTGTGCACGACATTCTACACGAACTACCTCGCACTGGCCAACCAATATATATATATATATATAACATATACATAATATATATATATATACATATATATATCTATATAAATTGGTAATGTTAACATCCTAAACAGAACATGTGAAGTACACAAGGCATGAGGGACACACAAACACAAGTATATATATATATATATTTATACATAACATATACATAATATATACATAATACATATATATATATTATACATATAATGCATACATACATATATATATATATATATATACCTTCTCTATGTAGCCGGGATCGACACAAACTAAACAACAACTGCCTACCTCTCATAGGTGACACTATCTACATAAAGTGTAAAACACTAAAAATATCCAACACACACCTGCAGGTACTGCTGCCAATCCCCTTTGTGTACGGGTTTGCTCCCCTTTTTACGTTTTTCTTCCATTCGGTACGTTTTTGCTTCCTTTAGAGGCCATGAGGGTGGTACTGTTGTCTTGAGACCCCACTTCGCATTGTAGTAGTAGTTCGTTAATGTGTGTACGTTGTAATCGACCCATCTTGTTCTGAAGGTCTGACAGTCTCTGGCGCATCGCAAAGGCACACTGCAGCATTTATATATAGATATGTGTGGGTGAATACTGAATAATGATATGTATTAATTTAAGCATATATATACATCTTTATGCACATATTTGTGCGTAAATATACAAAGAGAGATACAATATATATAAATACGTAAATCGATATATATATATATATGTATATATATATATATATATATATATATATATATATATATATATATATATATATATATATATATATATATATATATATATATATATATATATATATATATATACTACTAC